TTTGTTGTATTTCATCAATAGTTTTTTCATCACCACTTATTGTTACTGAACGAGGACTATTAACAACAGCAATACAAGCCAAATGTTCAATACCTTTCAGAAGTTTGTTTTTTACTTCTTCTTCACTCATTCAAACAGCTAACATACGAACAGCTTCTTCTAAAGTTAATCGACCAGCAACAAAAGCAGCTGCTTGATCACCAGCACTATGTGGTATAATAGATGATGGATAAATATTCCATGAAACAAGTAAAGCTGCTAATGCAACTTGTATAGCAAATAATGTTGGTTGAGCAATATTTGTATCATTAATACGAGATTCTTGTTCATTTTTCTTTTCATTTAATTCTTCTAATAATCTCCATTCATTATTGTTAATTTTTGTCATTTCTCCATCAATTAAATTAATCCATTCATTAAATAAAGGTTCACTTTCATATAATTGTCTACCCATAGCCCACCATTGTGGACCTTGTCCACTAAAAATAAAACATATTTTCTGTGCTAATGATTTTGTTGGACGTGATATGATTGAAAGGCCTGGTAATGGTTGTTCAGTAAGAAAAGCATTGATTTGTTCTTGTAATTGTTGACGATTGAGAAAAACAAAGATTGCTAAATGTTGATAACTAATAGTTCTTTTAAGATGAAGTTATTGAGATATACGTTGAAGAAAAGCTTGGTGATCATCATCATGTATATCATTAATTGATGATCAAGAGATTGATATGACTTTTTGCTGAATAAGAAGAAATAAATTATTTAATGAATGAAAAGAAAAAATAACGTTACTTGAAAAAATAAAAATAAAATATTGTTAGCTTTTAATATGATTTCCATCATCGATATGACCATTTTCAATTCATGTTTTATTTATTGGTTGATATTCTTCAATGATAGAATGTGTCGTTGAATCAACCGTTTCGAATGAATTAACACCAATAGCTATTTTGTCATTATTTGGAAGTGTTGGAAATGATACAAAATTTTGAAGAATATGTAGATTATATTTTTGTGCATCTATTTTAGGGTTAAGTGAAGTAAATTGCATATTTGTTGTAATACCACCATGATACATACACATAGCAACTTTAATAAGTGATGCAACATCAGCTGCACTTTCTGTATGTCCTAAATTACTCTTAAGTAAATCTAATCATAATGGTGGATCAAGATCTGATCGATTAAAAAATCGATCTAAACAATTAGCTTCAATTGGATCGCCATCACTTTCAGCATCACTTAATTGTTTTAACAGTAAAAGAGCAAGGCCATCATCTAGACACAATATTTAAATTGAAATGTATTTCTAAATAAAAAAAAAGACTAATCAACTGAATTCTTTACCTTAAGCATAACTATTAGCATCAACACTAAATGATCGACTTCTTCCATCAGATGATTGTGCACCAATAAATGAATGTTGTAGAAAACTTTCTGGTGTAAGAATCCATTAACACCACCACATACAGCTATATCAGCTTCATTTGTACGGAGACATTGCACAGCCATATGTAAAGTTTCTCAAGAAGATGAACAAGCAGCATCTGATGATACATTTGGATCATGTAAATTAAAATGATATAATAAACTATTTGGTCCATAAAATCTTGATTCGATGTTCAGGTCTCATACGAGCTGCTGCAATTGCATGATCTGTTGAAAATTATCCAGTATGCACTGATGTTTTTGTACCTGACATTTTTTCAACATTATATCCAGCACCATCAAGTAAATTAACAAATTTTAATATAAGTGATTTATGACATGGATCAATACTGGCTGGTTCAGCATCTGACAAAACCAAAAAAATTTGGTTTAGATTTATCTCATTGTTGATTTGGCATAAAGTAACCAGCAAGAAGAAGTTGTTGATGAAGTTGTCCATTATTATTTATATTAAGCATATGACCAATAAATGATTCAAGATCAAATCGATCAATTGTTGTTGCACTACCAACATTTTGACTTTCTTTTAATGTATACCATAAATCATTTGCACAATGAATATCACCTGCGAATTCACAGGCTATGTCTACAATAGCCACTGGTTCTAATTGATTGTTGAAAGTTGACATCGCAATTTACCAAATAGTAATTAATGGGTAAATACGAGAAGTAAATGCGAAATCTAAAAACGTATAAATCTGAAATACACAAATATCAAAGAAAATATTATATTTCAAAATACAACATCGAGATAAAAACACGATTTTTTGAGCATCCTTACCAATCGTTTACTGTTGATCTAGAAAAAAAGAACCGAAATTTTCATATTATTCCAATAGTAAATTTTTTGAGTATGACTAATTTTTTGATTATCTTTTCAATTATTTCATATCAATCTCTTTATCGATCGCGATTCCTGATAGTGATAAAATGGCAGCCTGTAAAACTCTCTGATAACATTTATTCCAAGGGCTAAAACACAATCTTCTAAATGGTGAAGAGAATTTCCGATGAATATTATATGTCACAACTCTGTATAGTCTAAAAAGTTATCAAGAATTTGTGGTATTGCGATTGATAACTTTTCATTAAAAACATATACGTCTATTTTGATTCATCGTAAAATACTTTAAAGAATTTCATTAATTTGGAACGCTCAAACTTAGTAACATGTTAGTTGAAATGATCTTTTAAATGTCACAAAACATAAGAAGGGTCTCGAGATTTTATACCAAAATCTAAAATCAGTCTCTTGTACAAAACTGTCAATTGCATTGATTAAAGCCCTGATAAATCGTTCAAACTCATCCTCTGGTTAAAACTAGTTCTCCTCATCCATAAAAATAAATCAGGATGTGAGCTGAATAATACTATTTAATTTCATGATAGATGTCACACTATAGGTATAAATATCACTAAAAATGGTTGTAAATCTGAACAGGCGGCCTAATAAAACTCGTCGTTCTGCGTCTTCCACACTACGCTAACATCGATCTAATTCACAAAATCTTTAATCAAAAGATAGAGATCAGCAAGTTATTTATTTTCAGACATAGATGAAATCAAGTCATGAAACAAAATAAACTTTTTCGTGTCAGCAAAAGTCACATCGAGTCTCGTGAGGATATTAACTTGATTTATTTAAATTCCTGAATTTTAGGGATCTATAAATTTATAGATGATTCTCAAAATGAAAAATTTAATTATGATACAACTTAAAATAAATTCAACTGATCTAATAAAGTAAGTAATGTATAAATTATCTTTGTACTTTTGATTACCTATTAATTATTTCTTTCTTACTTATTTATTGATCATCTAGTACTGACTAAATAGATTCTAAAAAGAGTTGTATTAATTAAGATTTTCTCGATGACATTTTAATTGATTTCTTTACGCGAATTCTTAAAAAATTTAATCGCCTAGTAAAGTCTTAGAAGATTGTATGAAACTTGGTGTCGAAATAATCGATCTGGACATGTAAACTGGAAGATATATTAGATAGTGTGGAAGAATTTCTACTAAAGATTTTTATGTAGATTTACAAAAGCTCTTCACTTGAAAAATGTGATAATGGGAAGACATGTATCACGATCTGAATATTTTCCAGGTGAAAGAGAATTCAGCACGCATTTGTCTCCAACATCAACGACTAGATATTCACTTTTCATCAATTGATCTGTTAGGTTCTCCAATTATATATCTGATACTCATATCTACGTTGATACGTAAGCGGAAAGATAATCTTTCGAAAACCTGCGTCTGTATACAATCCTACTCTCTTTTGTTAAATTCCTACCTGTATTGTATTATTCTTGATAAGAGAATAAAACTACTTCGTCTGTGCTCCTAAGTTTGTGTAGGGGAGTCTTATGTTGATGGTTAATCCCGTCGTAATTTGTAATGAAAATAAAGGTTTTGAAGATCTAGTTATCTATAATTATTTATATCAACCACAAAATGGCTGTAATCAAAAAATATATATATATATATTAATAAACAAAAAGAAAAAAAAGAAAAGAAAATGACCGAAATAGTAGGCGGCAACACTGCATCACCAGTTGATGCTAACATAATCCAAAAGAAAAATCGTTTGTGTATCAATATCAAATAATATTTAATCATTTACAATCTAGACCGCGGAGTTCATTGCTTTGATAATCAAAGAAGCTCAAGAAATACGAATAGACATTTCGTGAGATTTCCCTAAAAATATCATCAACAGAAAGAAATATATAAATATGAATAGAAATAGCAATATAATTACTAGGAATTTCTCCCTCAAAATTTAATTGAGAGAAGAATATATTTTTAAAAAAAAGTATAATTACTTGAAAACATTGAGATCAAGATAAAATCCAGTAACATCCATCACTCAGTGTTATTAATACGAACACGATGTACTAATTTATTGTGAATTCCAAACCATAATAAAAGATTCTAA